CTCCTTGGGGGAATGTGCCCCACAAAAACAGTGCGGTACCTGGAGTTGAATAAATCACTTAAAAAAAAAAAAAAAGAAAAAAAGAAAAGACTCTCTGAAGGAAACCGGAAGGATCTGACATTAATTCTCAGCGACCGTGTGTATTCCATGTTCATTCCCGCAAGGGAATAAACATTGGAATAAGCGACCGTGTTTATTCCTACACACGGGCCTTTGATGAAGTTGATTGAGCTGGGCAATCCTTTAGAGAGGGGGGGGACTCCTGTAGATTTAGGGGAGATTAATACGAGCAGCAAAGCCGGGCTGGGTCCATGACAGCCGGTTAAAGAAACATTTGACAAACAAGGGCACACAGCGTTGTTGATGCACAGCCTCTAAAACGTGGCCCGGACAATTTAACCGAGTTGTCCCACCTATGCGCGACACACCAACAGCAGGTTACGTTTACATAACACTAACTACTGTTGGACATTAAGTTGTGTTGATGTACTTCTGTGCTTTTTCAACACCTACTAAGTGCCATTATCAAGCTCCTACTTACTTAGAGTAGTATTCTCACCACATAATAAAAAGGAGATGGTCTTGTATTAGCTGTCTTTTATTTCATGGGTCCATTATAAAATAATTAGCAATATTCTAAAAGGGTAACATTTTGAGGTCTGGGAGACAAAATACAGAAAAAATGACGATTAGGAACATGAACTATAGAAAATGCGAACACGCGAGGAAACCAAGGGATGGGAGGAAACCCACAGTAACACAAGAAAGCAAGCCAATGCCACACAGACAGGACTGGGACTGGGAAGGACATCTGGGATCCTGTCACTGTGAAGCAACAGTGCTAACCGCTGAGCCACTGTGTTGCCAAGTGAAAGCCAGAGAATGCCAGCTAGATAGTAAAATTCAGCAAAAAGCCTTCCACACCATGTGGGGTGAGCTCCCTCCCTTTCAGCGAGTCCATCTCCCGCCTGTCAGGCCGTAGTGCCACAACTCTGAGCTCAGCAAACGTTTTCGTCTCCATCTTGCTTTCTGTCATCCACTTCTCACCCCTCCTAACCCTGTCTCCCTAGCTCCCTCTCTCTCTATCTCACTCCCTCATCTCTCTGTCTCCTTCCTTTCCCCACTCTATATATCTCCATCCCGCACACTGTTCACTGTAAATGCTGTGCCAGCAGAGTGATGCCAGGGAAATGGCGCCATCCTCATTGAGAGAGAGCAAGCAGACGGAGTGGGGGTGGCGCTGGAGGGGCTTGTTCAGTGACAGGCCCTGAAACCCAGCAATGAGAAAACACACTGCAGCAATCACACAGCTCCAGTAGATGGGATACACGGCTAAAGCTCCACATTCAGAGAAGGATCAGTACCAAAAATGATAGGATATAGACTCTTGATCCCCCAAAACTCCAACAACATTATTCTTTTTGAGTGGAACAAAGTGGTCGAAATAGGGTGGGAGTGTGAGACAGTGCAAGCCGTCAAGACAGGAGGAGGTGGAGGAGGAGGAAGACAAGGGGGAGGACAGGGGTTGGTTCATAAGCAAGCTGGCCAGGCAAGCAGACAGGCCACGGTTCATTTGAGGACTGAAGCTGCTCCTTTCCATCATTCGACTGTTCATTAATACCAGCTGTTCCTATGGGTCTCCCCGCAACTAAGCCTTGCTGCACTCTGCAAAAACCTATCAATATCCCAGCTACACAAAAACACTGCCTATTGCAGAGCGCGGCTTTAAAAAAAACAACTGCCCAGCGCTCCACCACAGGGCGTGTTTACAGAAATGGCCGTCTCTCCGAGATGCCTGATAATAGGCGTACGTTATTGACAGGCTGGATGCTTCTGGTGAGGCAGTTAAATGGGTGGCGACTACAAAAGAGGTGAGAATGACACGGGTCACTTAACACAGACTCTCAAAAAGGTGGCTCATGCCAGCCCACATAGTGCTCGGCTCAGTGTGTATAAAGGGTTCAGTTTCTCAAAATTAACCTTGTCAAACTCCGGTTCTGCCTGGGGGGGAGATTTGCATTACTAATGCAAATTTTTCAATCAGAGATTGTGGGGGGAGTGTGACATTTTAACATGCTTGTTCACCTTCTTACCATCATTGTGCATTCTTTTTCTTCCCTCCCGTAGTCCATTTAGAATTTTAAGCAGATTTGACCCATTCATATAACAGGATTCTCCACTTCCTGAGTGTGGCGTGCGGTGTTGTGTGTTTGGAAGTGTATACAGCAAGCCAGCGTGTTCCCTATATCAACTCAAGCTCGGCACACTCCACACTCTGCTACTCCACAGCGGAAGAGTTCTGCTGGGTCAAAATTAATTAGAGAAGCTGTTAAGCACACACCAGCTGTTGTAAACAAATGCAAATACATTTTCATTCCAAACAAGCCCCCCTTTTTATCGCGGCACACAAAATACTGTAAATCGTCTGCGTGTTTACCAACAACTTGGGCCATCATCAAGCAGGTTTTTCCCCACTTCATTTGTAGATTTGTTCCTATCACAGTCCCTCTTTCAATCTTTGCTTCATCACACTTCAATGACTCCACGCTTTTTGGCTGGTTTTGCTCTTGGACTCTTTCTTTGACAGGATCTGTTCTGACCAATTCCTTTTAATTTTTTTAAGTTAGGGGAACAGCAGGACCATGACACTCTGAGTAAGGGAGATGACAATCAAAGCCTATATAAACGGCTATGATCCTTCCAGTATTAGGGCTGCGATCTGCAATTACTTTCATTGCCAATGAATCTGCCGTTTAATTTTTTGTTTTTTTCGATAAAATTACAAAAAAAATAGTGAAAATGGACGTTACATTTTCCCACAGACCAAGGCAGCATGTCAATGTCAAATGTCTTGTTCTGTCTGACTGTATGTCCATATTCAGTTTACATCATGTAGGACAAAGACAAGCATCAAATGCTCCCATTTAAGAGGATAGAAATAGACAATTTGCTGAGAAATTGACTGAAATGATGAGCTCACTTGTGCTCCCGCAGAGGTTCTCTGCACCATGAAGAAGAAAAGGGTCTTCTCAAAGGGCCGGGGGGCCTGGAGGATCTGGTGCGGGTGAAAGCCCTATCAGCTGACTCCTGCTGCACTAACCTGTCAGCCCCTAATCGAGGACCATTCTGTACTACACAATCAGGGACTCAGAAAGGCAATGCAAGGTGTTTCTCATCCACATTAAACAGTGCAAAGCTTTAGAAGCACAGCACACACTATTTGGTTATTGTAGAAGACTGACAGTTTTTGGGTTGCACATGAAAAAAAAAGGAAGGAGAAGAATGCTGCCAATCCATCACTCACAGGGAGTTTAGACTCTTGTCACACTGGCTATGACAATGTGAACGGTAGAACGCCTGTTCTCCACACAGCACAGCACAGCAGGGCACCCATGCTGACAAATAGTCTTAACTGTTTGTAGCTACTTTGTATTCCAAAGAGAGATGACAGAGACATTGGGCTATGATGACATTATTGCATCCCTGAGGACCAAGCCACTATGTTTTGCACTGTGAAGCCATCTAATAAGAATATACAAGATGATTCAACTTTGGTACTGTATATAACCAACTGTTTCTGCTGAGTTGTCAAAATGTCCACCATTGGGGAACCAACCTGCAGAGTTAAAAGGTTTGGCTCGAAATGCATGATTTTAAACCCTATGGGATTGAAGAAAAGGAAAGACCAAATTGGAGACGCCATTGTCACTGATTCACAGTGACTCGCCGTCCCCGAAAAAAGACAAAAATTCATGACTATTTAAATGACCAATCCAGATGACTCAATCAACATTTCTTCAAAATGAGAGTTTCATTTGTAGAGGGGAAATAGAGGAGACAAAAACGGAGATTGGAGGTAATAAAAAGATCATATTAATTTCAACCAAACCTGAAGTAGTGCATCAATCTGGCAAAGGTCAAAGGGTAATAGCAGCCACAGACTACTTTACCACTGGTACCTTGCAGTCATATTTCATTCTCACTGTGTGTTTAATGCCTTTCCACTACCCCAATGGCCCCTCTGACTGGTTATCTGTGCTGTTTTCAAAGAGGCCGACCAAACTGTTAGAAAGGCCAACCTCCCTCAGCCGTCCAGCAAGCCTGACTTGCCAATCGGCCATCCTGTTTCCAGACAGCACAGTCATTTCCCAGCCCAGTGGAGCAGCACTCCCTGACCTCTGCCTCGACCTCCGCCTCAACAGCCCGAGTACCAGCACCAGCTCCAGCCCAGAGAGCAGGCACAGGCCACCTCGACTTATTTATGAGCCATTTCACACAGTGCTGCTCCCATTAGAGACCCAGCCTTGGCCCACCTTACACGGCACTCTCCTTGCACTTAACACATACAGTACACCAGCAGGACCAGGGGGACATGGGCGGGCGGGCGGGTCGAGGAGACCATTAGACCTATCACATAGGTACTGTCACACACCCAGCTAAAGATTACATCAAACAATCAGAGAATGACAAACGCATCAATCTACTTCCTAGTTGGCAGACATTTCCTGCGGATAGCTGCTACGACACCATTCACTCCATCGAGCGCAATCTTTTGTCTACTTTTTATTACTGTATTGCCTTCTGAAATATGTAATGACCCTATTCAGGGAAGTGATCACCCACTGATCTAATTTACTGACGCAAAAGAACCGATGGGTTTCGCTTATTGAACAATAATTGGACATTTCATTATTTCTCATTAATTTGGTTGGAGCTGAACTGTTAGTCTCAGCAGGAAACAGAAAGACAAAGAAAAAAGTCTCAACAGCATAAAACTTGATTGATGGATTGATTCAAAAAAGCATAGCAGACCATAATAAGAAACTCTGCTCATGCATGACTGAGAACAAGATTAGCCTGAGCTGGTAACATTCTAAAACTACAGGAAGCCAGTAAATATGAGCTTGTTTACTTTGCACCCGAATGAAGGTGACAACGTTGATTGGAAGACCTGGGAGCTATTTAAAGAGAGAGAGAGAGCGACGAAGACCGACACCCACCTGTGATTGTGACAAAGGCGTAGCCCTCGTCGCCCAGCAGTGGATTGATCAGTCCGCAGCTGTAGGTGCTATTGGGCTCGAGCACCACTGTCAGCACGCTGGTCATCGTGAACAGCCCTTCCTCATTGGCCACCAATGAAGTGGTGATATTGTCTGTCAGGTTGCGCCCGCCCCCATCTTTCCATATCACGCTAGCTTCAGGATAACCACCGTAGGCCACACAGGTCAGGGCCACCTCATCACCTGGTCGCAGGTTGGCTTCAGTCTGCAAAGTCACCACGGGCTTGGAGTATGGGGCTGAAACAAGGCAAGAGTACACAGGAGGAGGAGGGGGGGGGGGGGGGGGGGGGGGGGGGGAGGGGGGAGAAAAAGAGGTGTGGGGTGGGTGAGGATGGAGACGGGATAAGGGAACAGCAGACACATACTGAATTTAGTTAAAGTCTCTGCAGTGAGAGTCACCCTGGGAACTGTTTGACATGATTCCCATTAAATTCTTAATTATATTTAGGGAGCTTAGCATAACACAGTGCTTAAGATCCCACAGACACAGACAGCATCTGTGGCACATCGTGATGCTGCATCCTTACACTCTTAATGCTGCTCTCTCTCTCGAGACCCAAACCGCCGAGCCCCTCCCAGAAAGGGAATACGGTGCAAGGCAGGAGGTGGGGGTGGACAGGCCTCGGATGAAACTGGCAGGCTCAGAAATTTGGGGCGACTCAGTGGATAACATGGAAAAGAGCGTAGAGGGGTGGAGGTGAGGGGTGAATTGTCCGCCTCGGCTGAAATCACGCTCCTCCAATCCCTTGGGCTAAAACACGAGTATAGAGGTGGTGGAGAAATAGGCTGCTGTATTCCCAGAGCCAATCATTGCACAGCAAACAATGGGGTGGAGCTGAGGGCGAGATTAAAGAAGTTTGCCTGAGCTGCTTTTTGAAAAGTGGACTCTCAACACAAAGACAGATTTAGCGTGGTACACACTAACTTCCCCAGCTGTCCATTTGACTGACAGGCAGATATCCAGCGAGGGATCCTTTCATTTTCTTCCAGCACAGCATGAAGGAAGTCTACAATGTTAACCGTAAATGTTGGCTAAAAATAGAACATCTATAAATTCAATTGCATAAAATGGAACCAATTTGTCACTGTTGGAGACATTGTTTTCTCTCTCCCAAGCCAGGAGGGAAAAAACAAATGTTATTCATTAACACTGCCTAATGCACATCCATCCTTGGAGGATACAGGAACAATCTCACAACATATATAGACATGGGAGAGGGAAGGAAAGGCACACAGTATCATTATAAATAAATAAAAGGCTCTCAGCTGTGAAGGCGAGAGATGTAGTCACACGGCGGAGAAGATGTTAGTGATGGCTGACTGACCCTAACAACAGCTAATAATCAAAGTCAGCAGATATTGACCATGACAGACCACAAACAGTGCTTATTGACCAAAAACACTGCTCAACAGCCCGGAGGAAACTATTTATCACCTACTCACGGAGAAGAGAGGAAATTATCATGAATCACCATCTCCATAGGTAATTGCATATTACACTTTACTACATACTATTAGTGTATATGTCTGTATAAGTGCTGAGGTTAAATCACTTGGAATACGATCAATTCAAGTGTAAAGTGAAACTATAACACAAACATTAGGCAATTAAAGAGCATATATATGTTCATGGGAGCATTATAATTATCCTGGACTTTAAAACAATAAACCTGTGTGTGTGTGTTGTGTTTTTCAACCAATGATGTGTTTTTCAACCAATGATGGTGGCCCAATGCTTGGGCTTGTAAGATAAAGTATAGACAGCCTGCAGTACAATCTGGGGGTGTGGAGGTTAAAAGATATGGGCCGCTAACAGGCAGAAAAAGCCTAACAAAATATGCTAATAGGTTGCATCATGGGAGATGCAGACGTTTTTTCGGACTGTAACCCGTACACCCGTACCACGGGCCTGACTAAAAGGTCAAGATTTAAGGGCTTGAATGTTGTAATCTGTCTCTTGTGAATACCCCAACTTTAAATAGCTTGAATGTCCCTTTAAATAAAAGGGAATTAATACAAATAAAAACCTGGGCTGTAACTAATTATTTTATCATCAATTCATCCCTCAGTTATTTTTCCATATATTTCAATTCATCATTCATCTATAAAACATCAGGAATTTTTGCGAAGTGTAAATAATGAGTGTAAGGTTGCCTGTTTTGTGACTTTTTTGATTGTGAAAGAGAATTTAATGAATCATAAATGTTGATTAAAGTCAGTCTTGGTGTATGTTCGTATATTTAACAGGAACAATACAAGTAAACAATGTTCCAAAAGGAAAAGGACGTAATGACCTTTATATAAGCTGTCTAGCGAAAGGTAATTTGCAGTCCGTCCCTGGTTGTTTTTTGTATCCACTTTCTATATGCCACTGGTCACAAGTGACCATGTGCGTGTTGATCTTGTTCTACACGTGTCATGGACGTCACGGCTGGACTCACCGGCCACCTGCAGCAGCAAAGCAGCGCTGTCGTAGTCCTGCACCCTGACGAAGCAGGTATAGCTGCCTTCATCAGCCACCACCACCCTGCTGAGCAGGAGCGAAGCGTTGCCGAGGCCCAGCTGAGCGGGGAATAGGCCGGTACGGTTGGCGAATCTCTCAGCCTGGTCCGTCAGCTGGTCGCGTTCCCCCCAGTACCCGTGCACACTGCGTTTGGTGTCCGTCAGCTGCCAGAAGACGCTCAGATCAGACAAGTTGAAGGAGTTGGCGTGGCTGAAGGAACAGTTGAGTGTGGCATCCCTGCCGTGCAGCGCCACCACTGGCTGCTCCGGGACCAGCACTTCCATCACAGCTATAAGAGAGGAGGTGGGACATACTATGAGTAATGCTCATTAAAAGATTAACATTCTTGAATTGAATGACAAAATAATTGTGTTTTTATTTACTTAGAGAGAGCCGTGTTTTGCTGCACGTTAAAAAAAAAAAGTCAGGCAAACTGTTACAGCAAAATATATTGAATACACTCAACTCTAGGTAGTCTAAAAATAGACAATAAACAGTGTTAGTAAATTTACCACTTTGCCCAGGTCTAGTATAAACATACAGTATTCACTGAATCACAGCAGTAATTCAGTGTGCTGTGTTCAAATGTGACAGACTGAAACCTACTCAAATTTGAATACCTTAAAAAAAAAATCAATGCAGTATTTTGAAATATATGCTGTGCCTGCTTCAGAAACATCCACTCTGTTTGTGCAGCATGTTAGCGCGGAGCAGGTGAGGCAGGATGAAGGCGAGGGGGAAGAAGAGGAGGGATCTGGCGGTAAGCGTTAGGACTTTGTTTGCGCTCCTATAGGCTTTGCCTCCTAGCGATGGCTCAGCGTGCCGAAACTCAGCGATGAAAGCACCAACATCTGTGTAGCTTCAGTACAATTGTTCGTTAAAAGGTTAAAAAAAACATATGTTGGGGGGTGGGGTATAACTTCACTAAAACTCTTGAGTGTGTGTGTGCCTTTGTGGGAATGAAAAGTGACTCTGCTTCTCTCTAAACGCTTCTTCGACACACAGGCTGCAGATTATGTTCCGTGCATCTGTGTGTGTGTGTGTCTGTGTGCACTTGTGTGTATTGTTTGTCTAGACTAGGCCAAGAGAGCAAAGAGTACACTGCATAATCATTCTGAATTAGTAGCCATCTCAGGCGGTCCAGAGTACATCCATAGTATTCTCAAGAGTCAGCATTCTCCATTGATCCCTGCCTGCTCTTATACAACTCTGAAACACTCATCAGTATCACAGGGGAGGAAAAAAGCCAGCCGGCCCCTGGAGCAATACACTCTACTTTATGCTCAGCCTCTCTAATTGTTATAATCACAGTGGCATTTTAGCCTCCTCACCCATTTTTAAGCTCCGTCAATCACACAGCCAGCATCAATGTCGAATTGCTGTAGAGGAGATTTGAGTGACTACTTCCCCTATCAACAACAAACAAGTCTTTCATCCGAGAGCGTTCATATACGGCCGGGTATTGCTAAGTCAAGGCAGACCTATTTTCAATCACATTCAAGCCATTCCCAGCTAGGTAGCCCCTCCGCATCACACCACAAACAAGCCTGCTCGTCCTGTAGGAACAGTGCCACCTATTGGCCAACTTCAAGTGTAGAAAGTGGTACAGACAAAATGCACAGATTGCGGTACAAATACCACAGGAATGCCATATCTAAAACAGGGTGCCGGGCCCAAACTGCTCCGCCTTTTCAGAGTGAAAAGAGTATTTTAGATCATTTAATAATCGAGGTATACAAACATTTAAGTGACGGCCACTTTTTGTGTCCTTCTCAAGAATTGCTTCACCTAAAAACAGAAGCAGGATACATCGGGGAAACAATCAAGGGGTATTACTTTTTGATTGAAAATTATACTCTACAATTTTAGTAGAGTTTTTTTTCTTCCTTTACTGCGATTACAAAAGCTCTCTTGGTGCTGCGGGGGTTGTGCCCACATTCACTCCGCTGGGCTACAGCACGGCAGACAATCCAGAAGAGTTATCAGGCAAAGCATGAGAGGAGCGGGCGGTATTGTGCCGCCATCAAAAGGGATAACGGAGCACATTTTCTGGAGTGTGTATTTATGCTGTCTTTGGAGGTGGCCCGACCTTCCCGGTAATGAATAGGTTGCTGGTGTTTTTTTTGTAGGAGTGGAGGGTCAGTGACAGCCCTCTATTTGACGTGCATGTTGAAGGAGGAGGAGAGAGAGCAATTAAATCACTCCCCGAGCAGCCTGGGATGACTCACACCACTGAGTTCATACAGGAAGGGGGGGGGGAGGGAAACTGAGAGAAAGAGAGGCGAGCGTCAACCTCACACTTAAAGATAATATCTGGAAACAAGCCAAGGGAGAGGCTGTGGTAGAGCCTCGCACACTAATCCCTCAACACAGACCAAAGCCATGTCAGAGAGGAGAAAGAGATAGAAACTCCCCGTTTCTAATTCCACATCTCTTCACTCACTGCTGCTTTAAAACCATTGACCTACCGCTTGCTCCAAGGCCCTGGTCAGACGCAGCTGTACACGGGGACCTTGTGTAGAGACGCCGACCTGCACTTGGAGAGAGAATTCAAGGGGAGCATTTTGCAATGCATCGAGGGGATTGGACAGGAGAGGAGGGCGAGCTCGGCCGGCTGACGTCATGGAAAGCGCGCATCTGATGTCCTATTCGTCAGAGGTGAAATACCACAAGCCAAAGTGAATCAATGTGCACACTTGGCTGTTTTTTGATCTGCTGCTGCCGTTTACACCAAACAGCATGCTCGGTATACTAGCCGTATGTTTGATCGTCTCTCCTCGGGTCTGCTCTCGAACATGAAAAGAAATGCATTCTCCAAAGAGACAAGTGTAAGTAGCAGAGGTTAAAGATTACAACACAAGCGGTCTTTGGTGAAGGGGGCCGGGCCAGCACCTTGTAGCCAGGCCCGCGGCGTCTTCTCAGGGGTAAGTGGGGATCTCACCTCTCCCTTCTCCCTTTTTTTCGATAAAGAGATGCTCAGAAGCCATAGAGGGCAGGCTGGGAGACGTCAGGCTGTGGGGATTTACACGCTGCACTTTGTGTTTATGGGCCTCAGCTCTGTTTGAGTGCCTGCGAGACAGAGACGGGCACTTTCACAGCCGACATGAAATAAACTCATTACAGCCTTCGTGAGCGCTGGCAACGGGCCCCGCTTAGCAGCGAGGCGGAGGGCTGGGTAGAAAAAGGCTGCAAGTGATCTTCACACTGCTCTCCATTCTACTTTCAAGAGTACACACCACCTTGTCACCATCAAACCTCCTTCCATCTTGCTTTCCCCCGTCTGCAAGGCAGGGGTGCTGCTGGATTTGCCTCCACGATGTTATTGGTATAGTGAAACTGATGCTAGCTGGGTCAAGTGGGGTGAGCGGGGAGGCTGAGTGTGAGACAGAGACAGCGTAGGATGCAAGCAGACAGCAAATAGGAGGATCACAGCTTTCATAGGGTAGGGTGCGTGCAGGGTGACTAACGACGAGGCTGTTGGTAAATAAAATCACATCATCCTAGCAGATACATAGGTATCTAATAGGATGATGTGATTTTGTATGCATGTTCACAAAATCAGATAACTGGACTGAGATTATTAGCCCTCACCAGTCAATCTAGGCAGTTATTTGACTGATGTGATGCGCACACCTTAAATGAAACAAACCTGTGTTGGTTTTACAGTTGCGCAAACTTCCATCTAAACTGAACAGATGATATCTAAAGCTCAGGTGCAGCTCAGATTCTCTGTATTTCACTAAAATAACAACATACGTGAACTGAATAGCTACTGTATGATCACTACATGAAGTAAGGTAAGTGGTAAGGTCGGTGCCTCCTTAACAAGCACACTTGAACTGTGACTATAACAGGCCTTTTTCATGGCGGACATTTTTACATTTTTACAGGAAGAGAGCTGTAGTAATAACGAATCAATAATGGCTACCTGCCATTCAAATATATTAGTTCTGGGGCACTGGTATTGTGGCAAAGCCTACTGGGAGACTGTGACATTAATATCTGTGAGTCTTTTCATTGATGTTTTATTTATAGTAAAAATTGTACATATATCATATAACTTTGAATTATTAATATTTTCAGTGAATGACTAGAAAGACATGGTAGACTTTCAATGAGAGGAGTAGGGATACATTAGTTTTACATGTATTCTGCTGTATTTGTATATTTTCACTAAATAGTCGTGTACATTGTAATAGATGCCTGGGTGGGTATTCTGTTATTTGGGGTTTTCAGCAGCTTTATACTTTGTAAAACTCGAACTCATTGTGCTGATACCGTGCACATTGGGAAAGTTTAAACAAAGACAAAAATGAATGCATAGAAATGTACTACAATCAACCAAATGAACGTAGACTCAACAAATGCAATACAGACGCAAGGATCCAGGCAAGACATGGATCTAAAGACCACACAGTAACTAACCAGACTGCAGCCACAATGCGCGATATTGTAAATAAGACTTTCTAAACGGCAAGTGTGCACTGATTACTGGGAAGTCACTCACTTTCATCTTGTCACTCACTCACAAATGTGCACCGTAAGCAGGCAAATGTGTGGCACAGCAGAATGTGCAGACAGCTGCATCCTTATTCCATTTACTCATTTTTACACCGACCCTTTCTAACTTCTTATCCTGCAGCCGCAAAACGTGTGTCAACAAATGGCAGACGTAGGAATGTGTGCTATAGCACATATTTTGTCCCATTGTGGAAACTGGTTACGTTTAGAATCCGTTAACTGACATGAAAATAAACTTTCTACGGCCACATTTCAAGCCTACAATACTCAAATTAAAGCAATTCAATAGAAAGGACTTGAGAAAAGTCTTTCTCAGAGGCTGAAATGATTCCTTTGATCATCCTTAATTTATATCCCAGCTCAGCTAGAGCCACAACATGCTCCAGTAGTAGGGAGTTGTATCAAACTGTTGATCATTGCAACACTCTATCAGCTTATCCCTTCTGGGGAAAAAACAAATACTCCACATTTCAAAATACCCAATCGTGCCAGAAATGATCAGTTCAGTATGAGTGCGAGTCAGATTTTTAAGTTATGGTTATTTCAGTTCTGCTTTTGTTTATTGATTTTACAACTTGAGAGGAACGCCTTTGCACTTTGTGCAAAAGCAGTAACAAGAAGTTAACATAAAGTATTGCAATGGATTGCCTTAGTCTTCCTAGAAAAAGGAAACAAGGTACAAGTACAAGTATTAGTTAGCATTGGCTTTAATCAGCGGTATCAGTATCCATAAACTCTGAACAATATCCAGTACGCACACACCTTGCC